TTTGAATTCTAAAGACATTTGTTTTAATTCTCAGTATCTTCAGGATTTATGCGTATACTCTAGGTAATCCTTTACATGAATGCCTGATTATCAAGCACCTAAGGCCTACCCTTTTTTTCTAAAAAAAAAAAAAAGAAAAAAAAGAAAAAAAAGAAAACAAAAACAACCAAAAAAGACTTACTATACATTGATAAAAGTTTGGCAGAATTTGTAAAAAAACAAACAAACAAAAAAACATTTCTACTAAGCTGGTTAAACAGTGAGCTAAACGTTTTGTTCATGCATCTAATGCTTGAAAGGGTTTGTAATGCATTTTGCCACTTGGACGTGGTCTGCACTGAAAGCTGCTGGCCCCTCCACAATACACACAATGTTTGTCTTTTTTAAAGATGTTCAAAATGAATTGAATTTGCTAAACATGTAATTGTGTAGGGGAAAATGTTTATACTTTTATACTTTTTTAGGCACCCATATTTTATCAGCTTAAATTTAGCACCCAAGGTTCCCCTAAATAGTAACAGATTATCTTGTGTATCTGAAAATAAGCCTAACTATTGTCTGTGTTATCTACATATTAAAGCATTTCCTCCGCTGCAGTAGTCACTGTGTTTTTAAACAGCATGACTCCACCATATTCTCTGAGCTCCCCAGCTCATGGAATTGCAGCTGACCAGGTTTTCTTGACGAGCTTTACAGAGCACTGTGGCATTGGCGCACGCGTATTCTAATGCCCAAAATATCTGCGTAATAATCCTTCTAAATCTGCACTTCCATTGTCTCTTATTTAACCCTCAAAAGACAGAGTATTTTATTTCACAAGGTGAGACCTTCAAGAATGGCAGCAGCAAAGCATAAGTAACAAACTGAGCCAGTCGAACAAACTCAGAGTACGGAAAAGGGTTGGTTTTTTTCCTAAGTATGTTTTTTCTCTGGATTTTTTTCAGTTTTAAAACATGCTTTTATGTTGAGATTACCTGCTCTCCAGTTTACATTGTATCCCTGTTGTAGCAAATTTGGGGAAAATGGTGGTTAATCATTTTGCACTTTGTTTCCGATACCTCATGGAGATTTTAAGGAAAAAAAAAAAGAAAAAAAGGCAGGTACCTTATAAATTATTTTATATGTGCTATTGCTTGAGAACACCTGAACTACCTACTTTCCTGTTCTTGCTGTAGTTGATTTTTTTTGTGAACATCTGAGGCTTTCAGATAGATGGAAATGCAATCATGCGCCTTTTTCAAGGCATTAAGAATCAATCCCTAAAGAAGGTTTTTATTTGACTCTTGTAATTTCAAGTACAGGGCGGTTTTTTTTTTCATTAGAGTCCAATCTACATCATGTTTTTACAATTGCTTCATAATTTAACATCTTGCAGGATGAGGTTACGTACGGACTTCATTTAAACCGGCGTCCTTTGTTTCTTCTCTGTCCTTTGGGGAGTATTCACTTAAGCCAACTGCTCATGATTATGTAAAACTGATGCTGAGGGGTTGTATTTGAAAAGCTAATATGAAAAAAAGCTTGAGGTGAGCTCTGGATTTTTCCAGCTTCTCTCTCTTTACATTAAAACAGTATTCCAAGGTAGGATTTAGGGTTTTGAGCATGGAGAGATTGACGAAGGAAGAAAGTAGGGAGGGAGAGATACCAAAATGTACAGTTAGTTAAGGTAACCTCTCATGAAAATGTAAGTTCTGTGAAAGGTTTAGCTTCCCACACTTTCACTCTATGAATATTCAGGGCAGTGGTTTTGTGTGTTGCTCATGCAGAAGGAGGCCACTCCAGTAGGTCGCAGTGGATTTTTAGAGGAGTTTCTCAGAGACTTTCATTGCATGATGGACTTCTTGTTGAAGAACCAAGAAGTCCATACTTACTATATTCATTTATTTAAGTTAGGAAACAGGCTGGTTTTTAATATCGGAGATGACTGATTTTATGTCAAACACTTTTGCATTACTTCAGGCAGCAATTGAATCAGAGTTTATCTGCAGTGATCTGCATTCTGAGGCTGCGAAGTTGTGAATGGAAAACTGTCCAGAAGTACGGGCAGACTCAGCAGGTCCCACAGCATGTGTGAAATAGATTTCTTAGCAAAAGTTTACCTGGAATTTTCCTTACTGTGGGATTTCTAAAGATTATGGATAACTGCAGTTTGTTATCCCACAGAAATGTGTCACAGGCCTGGTCGCCTACTGAACTTTCAGTCTTCGGCATGATTATACTTGGAACATGTGGAAACTGTTGTTGGTTTTGTTTTTTCAAATTCAGTGGGCTTCTTGTCGTGATAACAGTTCCTGGGAACTGTTTCATCTTCCCACCTGAGCATTAGTAAAACATATTCTTGAAGAAACTGAGCTCAAGATACCTACCCAGCTTTTTCTCTTCAGATTTTATTCTGGCAGTAGTTGCATAGCTCCATTTCCAGCAGAGTTTCTGCACAGTTATGACTGATGAGAAATGAGATTATTTCCTGGTATCTTTCTGGAGATACAAGAACTTGATTCAGACTCCTCTTTCTCTGAGAGTGGAACTTTTTTTAGGAGAAAAAGAAATAAATTCTACCAGATTAAAGAAAAGAACATGCACTTGCTCAGGGAGCAGGTCTGTTGAGTGGGATGATGATATTTTCAGAAAACTATTTCTCAGAACAGAACGCTGCATTCCGTGAACATCTGTTGAGGTTGCTGGAAGTTTCGGTCTCTTTTTGAGCAGTAACAAACTCATACCATTTACAAATTACTGTTTCATTAGTATTATAAAAATGAACTTAGAATGCAGGAATGTGTGAGTGAATGCAGTTATCTAGGAAATGTATTATAATGTGTGTTGTTCAGTTGTTCAGGTATGCTGGATTATGTTCCTTGAGACGTACTGGGAGAACTGCTAAGAACTGGGCTTTTCTTTGGGATTAAGGCCAAGGGAAAAAAGAGAGCCTGGAGACGAAACTTGGCATTTTGTTCACTTTGTAAAACAAGAAAGTGTCGGTCTCCTATTTTAATCTCTCTCTCAGCATCAACAATCTCTGTCGAGTTTTTAAATTAACTTCTTCAATCAACCCTACAGTTGGGGTCCTTGAAACAGAGACGGGATTTTGCTTTGCCTTTAGCAGTACTTGTTATCTCAGGACAGTGGGATTAAAACTTCCAGGGGTCTCTGGTGAAGTGTCTTTCCTAACACAGCCATTTTGAGGAAGCTGTCTGTTTGCTTCACTATACTTTAGACTGCAATTATTTGCAGCTTTAAGGACAATCTCAGGATTTTACCTGGGTTTGTGAGTAGGATTACTGATTCTTAAAATAGGATGAATATTCAGTTTTAAAAAAAAATGTAGAAAGCTGCCTGGACTCAGTGTAATATAATTTTCTTTCTTTTGGCTCACAACAATCAGGAGCTGACTTTAAAGGCTTCTTAGTGGACTGAGGCTTTAAAGGGCTAAATAGGTCTTATTTTATTGTTCAGTTCGTGTAAAAGAAGGAACTCTTCATTTTCACTGCAGAAATCCTAAGGGCTAAAATACTGTCCAGGGCTAATTTGAGGTTCTAGAGACATAAATAACTTCTAAAAAGCAGCTAGTTTGTTTTTCTAACTCAAACTCTGAAATCATTTATAGAAATTGCAGATATAACCAATTGCAGATATAATTGCATTCATATCTTGTTTGGAATTTCAGTATCCAGCTTGGTAAGGAGTACAGTAGAGATGACAGCACATTTGCCCACCACTTTATTATTGCCCATGTTGAAATCTAACAGCTGTTGTGAACAGAACTGCCAACAGAGAGACTTTGAGGAAGATTCTGTGCCAGGAAATTGATGCTGAATATTTCATTGCAACTTAGCTGTCCTTCACTGTTGTAAGATCTACCAAGGTATAAACTTCTGGAAAGCTCAGTAAATAAATACTGCTGCAAACAGAGCTTTCTGGGTTCTTTCCAGGGTTCTCTTCAGGATGTTGTGTATAAATAATTACTATAATTAAAACAATTTATTGATAGTTATTTTGATCCTTTGGGGATGGCTGAGGCAGGAGAAGGTTCTGCAAGTTCTCCTTGCTTTGGAATGCTGAGCCTAGGGTTTGACCCAACCTAACACCTACTGAGATGTCCAGGCCCAATCAATCCGTATGAAATGTAAGAGTTGAAATATCTGTGTACATGATTCTTGTTCCTTTTGAAGATTTTACAAAAGCTCATGCACAACATTATTCAAATTGAAGTTGGCCCACGCGTTCTTGCTAGGAGAAAAGCAAGTGCCAAGACACTGTCAAAAAAAAAATGTTGCCAACCTATCTGCTTGGAACTGAACCAAGAGTACCAAACTGAACAAGTACCAAATGGCAACTATTTCAGCCTGCTTCTGTCCTGAGCCTCATCTGAGCCTCGCTGTGAAAAAATCCCTGAATCCATTTCCTACAGTCTGTCTAGGCCCACATACCCAATTCAGAAGGTTGGTTTTGTTGGTTTTAAAGCACCTGTCTCACAGTTAGTTGTGCATCAGCTGTTTGTGTTAATATCCAAGTGGCCATACTTGCAACATGTTATTTCCTGGATAGTGGATTAGCAATAACACTTTATTTTGTGCCAATTCGTTATCTCTGAAGTGTTCTTACTGCAGCAAAGTTTGAGTTTTGATTTGGTTTTAATGCCTTTGCATTAGCCAGAACTCTTAGCACAGACATGGACAAAAAATTGAATCCAGGGAGTTTCCCTGGATAAAAAATCTGCTAGGGCTTCCCAAGACATTTGAAGTTGGTATAGTTAGCCATCATTTTTAAAACAAAGATACGATTACAAATGTGTGTGGGTATTTTTTTAACCTCCTTTTCATAACACTAGCCTATTGTAAACTGCATGAAATAAATCTGTTTTTCCCTTTTAAAGTCTGATGTCTTAAATCTTTCTTTTTAAACCCATTACGGTTGACCATAACGGTTGCTGATACACTTGGTGTAGCACTTCATTTAGACATAAAATGTTTTATTTTTCTACAGTGATTCAGAGCAGCAATACTTTTTCCTTTGTAAAGGAGATGCATCCTTCTCTGTTTCCTCAAAGAGTTGATCACAGAAAAAGCCATGTTTATTCAGATGTACATCCACTGGGAAATTAAGGTATTTCCTTAGTGCTTGTGCTGATTGTCGCTGATCATTATAGCAGGAAATTGTCCCCTCTGGGATGGATACAACAAAGAAAAGTGTCAAGTTTTAATTAATGACTTTGTGTATATTTTCTTCCATTCACATAGCTAACAAATCAACCTGCATAACCTCACTGATTTCTTTTAGAATCCAGTATGTAGGTTTTTAATACAAATACTTGTATCTGAAAAATGAACCTGAAACTGACACTTTGTAATAAGAAATGTAAACAAGCCACTTAGTGAACTCTGAAATCTTATTACACAATTAAGAATGAGGTGAATTTCATATTGATAGTTTTAATTGGTTTTAAATGCAAAACATGTTCAAAGTTTAGAAATAGTGAAATTGTGTCAGTTTACTAAAGTTATCTCCTGCATTTTAATTGTATTTGAATTTTGCTAAAATATGCCCTAAAAGCAAGTTACTCAACTAGAAATTAACTACTTGATGTGTTCACTATTTACTTTTATCAGGCTTTGTTACTAAATGCATTTGCACTTTACCATTAATAGCACTGCTTTTAATCCAGATTCCTACTGCAGAATTCTGCAGTTTCAGGCATCTTCACAAATCAGCAGAAATGAGAGCACAGAAGGGATAAATGTGTACCAGAAACCAGTTAAGGGGGATCTGAAGTAGATAGTTCTCCTAGACTGCACACCTCCAAGTAAGCGACAGCATCTAATTTAGACTTTATAAGATTTGGAGCTTATTAAGAGCTAATGCTCCTTTCTGCAGAAAGCTTCATTTCAGGAAGATGAAGACAGCTCTGCATGTTCAGCTTTCAGTGGGCTCCAGGCTTGCCTGGCAGTCATAAACACATAGTCCTTGTTTGTGTTACCCAAGGCTGCAGCTTGCCCAATTTCACGAGATAAATCCTTTGAATCGTGTGTTAACCATTCCTTCTAAAAATCACTGCTGTTGGTAATATCACTGGAATCCTCAGAGTCTGCAAAGAAGTGTGATTTTTTTTCACCGTGTCCATTCAGATCAGCAGTAACAGCTTTCAGTGCTGAGTTTGGAAGGATGCAAATTCAAGCAATGTGAACACCCCAGGTGTACCCACTACACAGGAAACCTGCCTGCTACCTCAACAAATGTGTTACAAAGCTGCTCTTAAATACAGATATGTCTTAGAAGAACCCATACTGCAAGTGATAGGACACTTGGAAAGATAAACAGAGGTTTTACTGTGGTATTTGCTAATGGTGAAAGATGGTGTAGCTGGAATGGTCTTTCATCTGATTTGGCACAGCCACTTTAACAGGCTTCCTGAAAGTATCTGTTCCTAACTTTTGCAAAGAAACTTCCAGACATTCCAAATGTGTTTTCACCAAATAAAATACAACTGAGATGGCATCCAGTAACTGTTGCATGAAGCAGCCCGAAACGAGTTTTCATTAAGGTCTCTGAGACTCCTGTTTCTCCAAGTCTTTAGTGACAGTCGGGATGTTTTCTGCACACACAGCTGCTCTTTTCCATCTCTCCTCCAGCATTTACTAGTTAAAAGAAAGAAAGTAGCTAATGTCATAGGTATTTGTGCATTGGGATGAGAGAAAGTTGGGCAGAAGGGCCCACAGGAAGATAGGTATCCTATTTTGTATCACTGTGCTATGCAATAGGCTAAAGCATGCATTGGAACAGGAACTATTCATTCCAAGGGAACATAATTCCTCTTGAATGATTCCTTTATGGAGAGGAGCTAAATGAAGATAGGGTAAGAATATGGCAAGCAATTTGAGGATCTAGTTCTTTTCTATTTTCTGAGAGCAGCCTGGAGAAAGACAGCTCCTCCATCATTTCTGTGGAGCTGAACGGAGATTAAATTTAAATGAGAGCGTGAATTGTTTAGAGAAAAAAATCGGGAGAGTACCAGAGCACTTGGCTCACCCTCTTGGTTAAACAGGGGAGTGGCTGCACATAAAACACGTAATTTAAGCTACCTTTAAACCCTCAGCTAATGAAGACTCCGCACCCATCCTCACATTACTGCCATAGCGTCTTTATCAATTGAATTTGCTTAATACCTGCCCTTGGTTTTTCTCACAGCGCTTTAAACTGATGACGTCTTGCCTCGTGCTCCGTTATGGGGACGAACAGTTCGTCGCCCTGCTCCTTGCGGCCGCCTTTTCTTTTCTCAGTGGTAATTTAAATCTCCGCATGGCGGGTTGGGGGGCGCTGCCTCCATCGCGGCGTGCCAGAACGGCTGTCTGGGTGGGATGTGGGACAGTGAGGTTCTGGAGCCGAGCACCAGCCCAAGTTTACCCCATTCAATATAGCGATGCTTATTTATGGAAATGCCTAATTGGAGTGACGGGAGAAGGGCGAGGAAGATAAGCCATGTTGGTCTTAGGGTGCTACGTAGGGTGCAGTTCAATAAACAGGCCACGGCAGGATGCGGCTAAAAGGAGGTTGAAAGACAAAAAATGTCGGTTTCATTAAAATTAAACACGGTAAACATAAGGACAGAATGTGAGTCATACCCAAAAATTAAAAATAATAATTAAAAAAAAACACTAAAAAACCCACCAAACTTACAAACAAAACAAACAAATAAACAAAACAAACAAACAAACAAACAAAAAAAAAACAGGAAACTAACGCACACGGCCTCCGCCGCCCGAAACAGCCCGCAGCGCCCGCGCTTGGGGCCCGGGGATCCGCCCCCAGCAGATGGGCTCGCCCCGCCCCCTCCCGGCTTTGCCCAATTGCAGCGCAGGCAGCGCCAGGACCGCCTCTCCATCCTCCAATCAGAGGCGCGAATGGTCGCAGTGGGCGGGTCCTACCGGGCTCGAGTGCCTCGCGGCTCAGGCGCAGTGGGCCGGACCCGCTTGGCTTCCTGCGCCCGGCCGGACGGTTATAGGGCACAGGTGACCGCCTCAGCGCCTGAGGTAAAACTTCACTCCATTTTTCGATAGGGGAACGTAGGGCCAGGGGGGCAGGAGGACGTGAGAGGGTTCGAGAGGGCTCTGCCGGGATCTCCGTGGCGCTCCCCGCTCAGGCGCCGTTGAGGACGCCCGCAGGTCCTGCTGACGGCGACGCGTGAAGAGCGGCGGGCGGTGCGCGGGCTGGGCTGGGCTGCACCGCGCCGGCGCAGCGACTCGGACGGGTCGTAGTGAGGGACACACCGCGTTAGTGAGCTCTGCACCGAGGGAGGGGGGGAAGGGGGAGAGAAGAAGAGAGAGGAGGGAGGGAAACTCCGGACCAGAGACAAAGGGGGGGGAGCAGAGCCGGGAACATCCGGGTCATTCGCCTCTGCCTCAATCCGGGACACACGCGGGTGCCGCGGCCGAGCACGGTGAGGCCTGGCCGGGCGAGGGGCCTGGGGCGGCGGGGCGGCGGCAGCTGGCCCTGCGACGGCGGGGTTCGGGCCGGTGCCTCGCGGCGCGGCGGTGCGCGGACCCCGCGGTTCCCGGCGGCGCGGCCGGGCCCGACGGCGTGTCGCTGCCCGCCTCGGGAGGGCTCCGCGCTCTGCCCCTGCGCCACGGCCCGCCAGCCCGCAAAGGTCTCTGCCGCTTTGGGCCGCGGTCGGCCGCCGAGCCGCGTGCGCCGACGGGCCCGAGTCCGGAGCTCCCCGCCCCGCGAAGCGATTCCCCGGCTGCCGGGCGGGCGTCGGGTCGCCGCGCGCGGGCCTCGGCCGCCACCCCGGCCGCTCCGTCGGGCTCGCGAGACAAACGGCCGCGGCAGGGCCGGCGCTGCGCCACTCCGGGCGGAGGTCCTGGGCCGGGCCGCCCCGCCGTTCCTTTCGTTGCTCTGGGAACTCCGGCGGCCGCGCGGGCCGGTATCGCCTGTGCCGCTTGTTTCGCTGCCTCGGGCAGGAGCGGACTTTGTGCGCCTGTTAGGAGGCGGTGCGCTTCGGTTGTACCTCAGCCCTTGACTTTCTCTGCCTGTGTGGGAAGGAAAGCGTATCGCCGGTTTACAAATCCTTACGGCGTCTGCTTCCAATCCGTGAAGTAATAAGCCTTAACGATTTTACTCATTTACTTATTTTTGAATGAATGAAGACTGAAGGAGCACGCTGTGTGTGTACAGACTGTTTACGGGTCAGAGTCACAGACGTGATGGTTAGTGTGCCATAGGAGCGCTGTGCTGTTCAGGGTCTGTTTTATGGATAGCGTAGCAGTTTGGGTTGGGTTTGGTCCCAGCGCAGCCGGCAGAGGCGAGGCATGGAGCGCTCTTGGAAGTTTCTGGTAATTTTCTAGTGAGTTGGTTGTGGTAAACGGGCCATTGCTCCCTCCTGGTGCTGGTGTGTGCAGGAGGGAGTAAAACTAAATGGAATGGGAAGACAAATTTTCCCGCTTGTGTGGTGAGATACGATGGATGCATTTTCTCCAGCTTAGAACTTGATGCTCTTTCCAGTGATGCACCTCTTCTGTACAATAAGTTGGGGCTTAATTCTGTTCACTCGTAGTCAATTTCTCAGGTGAAGGAAGAAAAGGAAATCAGATTTGATATTTGAAACAAATGTGGGGAAAAAAAAAAGTGCAGGAAAAAAAAATACAGATTTTTTTGGGCAAGATCCCAAAGGGGAAAAACTATTAAAAAAAAAAAAAAAAGAAAAGTGAGCAAATCTTGAGGTTTAATGAAGTACTTAATTCCTTCCTGTTCCTTTGTAATTTCTGACAGCAGAATACATAGACAGGTGTTCAACCTCTGTTTATCCTGCTTGGAGCTCCAGCAGGAAGAAAGTTTGAATAAGAGATCCAGTTTCTTTCACTGAATCGCTGTTAGAGAGTATGCACTGGCAATTTGTTGTTAGATTGATTTACCTTTGAGGGGACCCCTAAGTAGTGGGATCAGTTTTTGAAGTGGGCTTTCAGTCTCAGTGGTCTCTTGTGCCTCGCTAGCAGTTTGTGACGAGAGGCTTTGGGTGCTTGTCTGCCCTTGCCAGGGTAACCAAAGCCCGTGGAGCTGTTTGAAGAGCTTTGCCCGATGCGGGTCACGTTCTTGTTGGGAAGCACTGAGCTATCTTACAAGCTGTAGAACTCGCAGCCTGCTGTCCCACGTCCTTCTGTGCTGGCTGTTCTTCACGCTCCTGGAGTCATCTGGAGAACAGTGAAACTTTGAGATCAAAAAGCTGTAGGAAAACTGGCCCCCCACAATTCTGGATTTCTTGTAGGGTGAAAAGGAAGTTTGGATAGGATCAGTTCGCTTGCTCAGCGCAGGCAACCGATCTACTGCACTGCCCAAAGATGACAGTTGCAGTTATTTCAGACCTTGTTACCAGAGTCTTGCAGAAGAGGGAGAGCACATATAGCATTAGTTCAAGTTCAGACATGGCTGAGCTGTTCTGTCCCAGTTGTGTTCAACAGTACTAAATAACGAGCTGAAGTTTGGCTATTGCTTGAGGTAATAAAAAAAATAAAAGTTCAAACCTGAAAGAGAGACACTAAACATAGTTGGGGTGGGTTAAAAGTATCAGTTAAGAATTACTAATACATGAAATAATGTAATGTAGCTCATTTCTTCTTCAAGGTATTCAGGAGTCTAAGTCTGGTTAGATGTGCCTGAAGTGACTGTTATTAAATCCATGGCAAGTGTCAGTATTCACTGGATTTCCATTACATGGCCTTAATATTCAGAGGACTGGAATAGCAAATATTAAGTAGACAAAATATGCATACCTGGGAGCTAACCTGAAAATGCAAAGGCTTATCTCGTGGTCAGGTGTCTCTTAAGATATCCTGGTTAATCACGTTTGACTCATTAGTAAACTGTTCAGATTTGGACACTGAAGTTCTTAGCAGCTCTGCCACTCGGGCAAGAAGCCACTAAAATAAATACTGAGCTTTAAAGTCACAGGTTCTACTTTGTGTGAAGTAATGCCTGAAATCTTGAGTTAGTATATGCTGACTAGGAAGGCTTTCTTTATCGCTCACAAACCCTACTGTTGAAGTACTTGGTTTAGGAGCCAGAAGCTCTCTTAATGTTACCTGTAACTATTTAACTAGGTTGCTCCATGACAGATCTCTGAACTATTTTTACATGCTTTTTCTCTCCCTCCTTCCCTCCCAGTTCTTTATGAAATGTGTTCTGCTGTGAAATTAAGCAATCACACTTAATTTCTTGTGCCATAGTAGAAGGGGGGAGGAAGTCAAGAAACTGGCATTTCAACTCAGGGAATGAAGTGTAGGCACTGGGAAAACCAAAGTGCTGTGTTTGGGAAGGAGGTGGTGTGCAGAACCTCATCAAGGGATTTCAGGTCTTGAGGTGCAAAAGAGTTTTTGGTTGTAACGGTGTGTGCACATACACCAGGGAAAGAAGGATGTGGTCTAATTGGTGCTTAAGTCAAATGCCTCAAGATTTGAAAGAATTACTTGTAGAACAGACAAAGTCTTTAATTTACCATGGCATGGCATAGTGCAAAAGCCAGCAGGTTATGGAGCTGCTGAAATTATTTTCCACTGGGAGAATTTGGTTGGCGTAGTTTGGTAGGACATAATGCTGTATATTGAACCTCAAGGGAAATGCTGCCTAGCTGACTGTTAGTTATAGGGAAGGCAATGTGTTCATCTCCAGAGGAGGTATCTGAGTTGCTGTCTAACATTTGACAAGTTTATAAGCTATAATAATTTTTAAAAATTGATTTTGCAGAGTTAATGTTGTTGTTGTGGATCTCCAGGTGCTAAAAGCACAGCTGAAATTCTGCCACGTGCTCATTAGTTCATTAAAATCTCTAGTAGGAGAAAGGGCTCATGAAATAAAATTACTCCCTTCATAATTTTGTTGAAGGAGAGGTGCAAAGTTTGTTTTTGTTCTGGGTTCTCATGGGAGGCTCTGCTTCTCTTGCTGGTGAGTTGACTGAAAACTGAAGTGCTACCTACAGTTCTGATGTGAAGTCCTGCAAGTGTTCTTACATAAGCAGGACACCAATGCCTGTTTTGGGAACATTAGAATGAATACAGGATTCTTTTGTGCGTGTTTACTGCACAGACCCTTAACGGTGCCTTCCGAAAAGCTTTAATTCTAGTTACATTCTTGCAGGAATTGTGCTGCTACCTGGAAGTTGAAAGGATTGACCGTGGGTGTGCAAGCTGATGTGACTGGGGGAAAAAGGAGGGAGAGGAGAAGGAGGGGGAGGGGTGGGCAGAAGTGTTTGCAAGGACTCTTAGTTAAGGTGTCTGTGCTGCTTGGGCACTTCTGATGTGTGAATATGGAAATGCAGAGCCTGATGTCTTCTAATCTTCCGAGTGGATGGCAGATGTGCACGAGTAATCAAGAGTGAGATTTTAAAACAAGGGCTTTTTTGAGCTAGAGCTGACATGGTCAGGTAGTTTATGTATACAAGAGTTGCACTGTATTAACTAATAATCCTTCATCAGGGTGCAAATGTTTGCTCTAAGGGAGTGATAATATTTCTTGCACTAATTCTGTAAGCTTATTTAGGAGGAAGATACTGCTTTTCTGGTGGGTGCATGAAGTAGTTAGGCCAACTGCGCTTAACTCCACAGCTACCAAGTTTTAGTTCTTGTTTAAAATGGGTAGAAGTGCAGTGGGGAGGAGGAGTAAAGATAAGTGGAGGTTTCTGACCACGTGGCTGATGAAAGGATGAGTTTAGGTACAGTTTGACCATGAAAAATAAGGTCTCACTTTAACTGCTCTTGCAGGTGAGTGGAGAATCCTCCCCTGGATCTGGGAGCTGCTCTATTGGAGCATCATGTCTGGAACTGTTCTCACATTGTCTGTAGTAGTGACCT